GAGTATTGTACCATAAATATATATAAACAGGTATTATCTGCAATAATGTATGTTCCGGAAATCAATTCGTACACATATTATATTTAAGTCATTCAGATAGCACCTAACATCACATTATCTATGTTAATGTAATTCATTTAATGTCTTTGTAATTATTATTAGTGCATAATATGAATATATGAATCTGCAGTTTTGCCAGTATAACTTGCCATTAGTGTTTGCGTGATGTAATCGCAACATATATTCATTTTTATTTACCTACTTCTTAATTTTTTTTGCTTCATGATTTGTAATGCATAAATATCTGTGCAGATTTCATCTTTACATCTGTACCTGTATCTACACCCTGTCTTTATTATACATATATGCCTAGCATATAAAATAATAGTGAAAAGTATCTAAAATATGTATTGAATTAGCCGAATAACGAATCTATTTGGTATTTACAAATTTGCGAATCTATTGGTAATGTAGCATTTAAAGCATCTTTTTATTTAAATTAATTTAATTGTATTGTAAGGTTTTATCTTAAGTTTTTAACAGCTATCTTTAGTTAAAGCTACTTTCCTATCCCTTCTAATTTCAGCTTACAAATTTCCTGCCAAAGTGCGTTTTTAGAATCGCGGTTAAATGCAAATGAAGGAAGAACAGTACTTAAGTCGAAGTTCCACCGACTTCGTTAGAGAGCCAGAGATTCTGACTAGCGCGTGTTCGCCCTTTGGCTACACTTTCTCTAAGTTATTACTACGCTCCACGGTATTTCAGACCCTTGATAGCTTTGCCCTTTAGTTAACATTTAGGGGCCAGTTCCTGTAGAATTTTGATAGCTTCGGCTATATCGTTTTAGTTAAGCATTAGTTAAGTTTGATTTTCTTAGTACTCTCGAGTTCAAGCCCAAGTGGAGGCTTTCCTGTACATCCTGAGAAAAATCCCTCTGTTAACCTTTATTTTGAGCAATAAAGGGTAATTAACTCTTCATGAGTTTACGTTTCTGCTCCTGAGCCAAAGTGATTATTCGCTTACCAGGTTCCACACACATAGCTGTAACTTTAAGGTTGGAACCTTATAGTATAACTGTTAGTATGCATTACATCTGTGAGCACATTGTACTGCCCAGTGTCTTAATACCTCCTTGCAAGCAACAGCAACTTTCCAGTGCTCAAAGTAAACGGTGATCAGCATTTTCGACTTAGTCTCAATAACAGTGCCCTCACCATGCATTTTCTCTCCATATTTCTGTCATTCGTTGAGTATTTATAATAGTCAATTTCCAGAAAAACCAGCTCTAGTTTTTAAAATTTATTTAATTAAATTTTCTTTATTCCATCGACGGGATCCGACCGGCTAAAGAGCACCTAATCCAGTGGGCCAGTTATTCTATCGATGACGAAGAGGAAAAAAAAAAAAAAAAAAAAGTACATTCCCGTGACTACGACTGCAAACACGAATTAAGAGTAGATATATCCTTGCCGTAATATACCGTACCGTAGCCCTATTACTCGACTTCGTACAAGATGAGCAAATTGCCGATATTGCCTTCTTCGTCTCCTTAAAGGCATTCTTGACTTATTCACTTATATAAAAGAAGAAACTAAGTCGAATTGCTTCATATATACTATCACATATAAATGCGTAGCAGATAAATTCGATTTATAATAGAATGTCATTGTAATAGTATATGAATCTATGTTTATAATAGTATATGAAAGAGGGAAAACATTTTTTTTTCACTTAAAAATATTAAAATCTAATAATGATATTTGCACAATTAATATAAAATTATTACATGAATAAATAATCGATGTAAAATTCTATGCATAATAATATTGTATTTATAGTAATAAAATAAGTTATATGTTACATGCATAAGATATATTTAATATTAACAGAATTTTGTTAATTACGAAATAATAATACACTTATTTTCTGTTGAAAAGTGAGAAAACACTTCAGCTGGATTCACATTTGCAGTCTGATGGTTAGAGCAAAAAACACTTCGGTAACTGCGTAAAGCAATGGAGCTAACTAGAACTAGTCCAGACAATGATACATCATTAACAGTAGAAAATCAAAAATATAATCAAATGCGAATAGACGATAGATTAAGATCTTTGTTACTTATCAGACTTCTCAGAACAAAAGAATAATCACTTTAAACAGGAAAAATTATTCTATCCGTTAATTAATGCTAACAAATGAGGTGAAAAAAATACATCGCTCTGTAGCTTACAAAAGCAATTCACTTCTATCAAAGTGAAAAAAATATTTTATTTATAAAGAAATAAATTTTAAATTACGATATGAAATAAATATCTCATCATAAATAAACTTTGCTAAAACATTAACAAAAATTCCAAACATTTCGTGGCATATGTTATTTAGTAGGCTAAACACTGATCCAATAGCTGCCGTTGCTTTGTTGGACGCGTGATTTCCTTACTCAATTTCATTGACTGTCACCAAATACGTCTCCAACGACGATGTATTCCGTCATGCGCAATGATTACGACTCCCGGTGCAGCCGCAGCACACATGTATCTGACACGCCGGATATTGGCCATAGGCCCCTCAGACGTTCAAAGATACTTGTTCGGATTTATAGTTTCTCATGGAGATGGTGGTTGTGGAAGTTTGATACACGGAATGTTAAACACCGTTCTGACTCCAATAAGATTAATATTTATTTACATTTTCTGGAAATAGGATTACATAGACAGAAAATCAGTCATTGTTCTTCTTGAAGGCTTAGTGTTGCCACTCTGGCGAAAAGAATATTGTATGCGAAGAGTTTCAGATGGCGCTTGATTAACGCAAGTGATGTCGCCTCACATCCCCTTCCCAGTGATAGCGTTATACCTCGTAATCTTTCAAGTATGCAGGAAATCTCACCCTTCTTCCAGCTTTTGTGTTTTTAGGATGAATATCTTTGGAAGAATCATTGTCTCCAGGAAGTGGAGGTGAGATTTTGGAGTTATCAGCTTCATGTCTCTGGAGATTTATTGTTATTTCATTTTTAAGACTGAAACATGGTTTTTCAGTCTATCTATCGATATTCTTTTAATTTTACCTGAAACTTCCACATCGAAAAATTTTTCAAAATGTTTTTTAACTAAATATGACCCGAGATAGGGTGGTTGAAGAGAAGATGAAATTATGCTATTATAGATGAATACGTGTGAACAATTTGCTAAGTCCTTGTGCACGAAATTTATTTTTTATTTTTATTTTTTTTTATGGCTGGTTGTTGGAATTGGTTTTAGGTTTTGGATGTGACTTTGGAATTTTTGTATAAAATCTGAATGCGTAACAGTAGGGACATAACTGAAAAATTCCAAATTAAAGGCTTTTTGCTGTTTTTCTTCACTCCTTTAAGCAAGATTGTCAGGAACTATTGTAGTTTGGCTCAGTTTGTAATGAAACGATGGTAAAAATTCACCATCCCCAAAAATCTGCGTAAGCTTGTGAATGATTCTGGTTTAGGATATTCTTTAATTGTATCGACTTTCGATGGAAGAGGCTTGATTCCTTCCATTGATATTTCATATCCTAAAAATTCAAATTTGCTCAGACCGAATTTGTATTTTGCAATGTTTATGCACAGTCCATAGTTATTGAGTCTTTGGAAGATTATTTCAAGATGTTTTTTGTGAGTTTCTGTGTCTGGAGAAGCAATGAGAATGTCGTCGAGGTAGCAAAATACAAAGCCGTTAAGCACAGTGTTCGTAAACCTTTGGAAGGTCTGTACAGCGTTGCGTAAGCCAAATGTCATATAAGGAAATTCAAAAAGTCCGAAAGGTGTGATGATGGTGGTCTTCGGAATATCAGCTTCATGAACAGGAATCCGTTAGTAGGCTCTTATCAAATCTATGGTTGAAAAAATTGTTTTTCCATGCAAAATATGAGTACAGTCCGTTAGAAATGGTAATGGGTAACGGTCTGCCACAGTATTTGCATTAAAGCCACAGTAGTCGCCACATGGTCTCTAGTCAGTCACCGGATTTTTTTAAAGTGAGGTGTAATAGACTTGACCAGCTGCTTTTGGATGGTCTGCAGAGACTTTCTTGCAGCATATAATCGAATTCCTTTTTCTCGGCAATCAACTTTTCTTGAGAAAGTCGTCTGACTTTAAAGGATACAGGGTTATCTTTGGTTTCGATGTAATGTTGCACATCATGTTCTTTAATTTTATTGTTTTTTATATTGGGTTTCAGTAAGTTAGGAAATTTGTTTAGGATGGCTCTATATGGGTTTTGAAAAGTATTAGCAATGAATTTGGAAGTGACGCTATTGTTACAGAAAGTACCTTTAGCTGTTAATGAGTTGGTGCCGTCAATTAATTTTCTGTTTTACTATCGACTAACAAATTAAAATGTGAAAGAAAGTCTATTCCCACGATAGGTTTATTAACATCCACAATAATAAAAGGCCAGTTGAAAGATCTGCGTAGCCCTAAACCTAGTTCTAATAATTTTTGACCATATGTTTTAATTGTTGTACCGTTAGCTGCGAATAACTCAAGCTTAGCCACAGTTCGTTTTTCCGATGGTGGTGGAATAACCGATATTTTTGCTCCAGTGTCAATTAAAAAATGGGTTGTTGATGCATTGTCACGAATATATAGACGACTCAGCTGTACCCCTTGAATTTCTGTCGTCATAGAAGGTCGGGGATTCAGTTTTCCTCTTTTGAGACCTGGTATTTGCATGATGGGGGTGCACTTGTACGCTCTCTCACCAAAGCGTTGATGAAAATAACAATTATTTAAGTCATTGTTAATTTTGAAACGATTTTTAGAATTCGACCTACATTGTCGTCTTTGTGGACTGAAATTTCTACGCCTATTCATATCTGCTATCTGCAGTGTCAAATTTGATATCGGTTTCTGTAAATCTTCGGCTATAATGTTATCAGATGAGGAAGAAACAATCCGCGCTACTTGGGGTGGATTAGGATTTAATTCCCATATTTTGTCAGCCATTGTAGACAATTTGGACAACTCATCACTGCTCACAGATTAATTGTTCACAGATCCGCATATTAAGTGGTATTCGTTGCATCCACAATGTTTTCAAAAATTCATCTGGCACTTTCTCAGCCGTCAACTTATTACGCATTTCGCAAAAGAGTTGGGATGGTTTCTTATTACCCAGTTCTAATTCGGTCAGAAGTTTCTGGGTTTTCTGTGTTCCAGAGTCGGCAAAAAATTCAATAAGCCTTTTTTTAATGGCCGAATATTTGCCGTTGTCTGGTGGTTTGGTGAGAATATCAGAGATTTGTGACAATGTCCCTGTTTCAATAGAATTGACTACATAATCGCATTTTGTTTGATCAACTGTAATTCCAGCATTGCGGAATTGGGCTTCAATATGAAGAAACCATATTTTGGGGTCAGGTTTCCAGAAAGGAGGAATTTTGATGCTGACCTTGGCGATAGTCGCAGATGTTGCATTAGTTTCGGTTTGTTTACTTTCATCTCCTTCAGCCATAGCAGAACTAGGCTTAACGGAAGTAGACCTACCTTTATACATTTAAAAATTTTTTTATAGCCTAAGCTTTTCCGGCTAAAGTTTGCTTCGTAAAAACTTGTTCATTTATTCTTAACACATTTGATGCATTCTGAAATTTCTAATTGCATACATTACCGCTGAAGATATATTACAATATAGAACAAAATTTAAATTTTTAAAGTTGACCTACCATTTCGGAAGTATTTCAGAGACGCATAAAAACAATTGAACCATCAATCTTGATATAATCCATGCACATCAGAAGCACTTCGAAATAGAAAGTATCATTCAATCCGCTGTCGAACTCAGAAAAAATATTCGTAAGTTGATTTGGGGCCCACCAGCGGCCGAGCGGTAAAGTCGCTGAACACTGGTAGTTCGGTCCGAGGTTCGAATCCCGCGAACGGGCTGGCTGCATGGACGTTTTCGTGGTTTTCCCCATGTGTAACGTGTATACGAGCCAGTTTCCCTTAGAAAGTCCTCCACGAAGGCATCCCTCCCCTTAGGCAGATAGCCCTCGAGGCTTTCCCATAATCACACCCACCCACGCGTAAGTTGATTTGGATTGCATCCGGGTAAACCAGTGCGGAAGTTTGATACACAGGGAATGTTTTAAACACCTTTCTGACTCCAATAAGATTAGTATTTATTTACATTTTCTTGAAATAGAATTACACAAACAGAAAATCATTGTTCTTTTTCTACTTGAAGGCTTAGTGTTGCCACTCTAGCGAAAAGAATACTGCATGCGAAGAGTTTCACAGATGGAGCTTCAATAACTCAAATGATGTCGCCACAGTGGGGATACATGGTGATACCAAATAAAACTACAGAAGTATTTAAAGAAATATTTAGAAAGTCTTTTTAAAATATTTAAAATAATTTTGAAAAATTTATAATTTCCCAAATGTTAAAAACTTTTTAAGATAGTAGATTTTATCTTAATAACCGAATAACTTCCTAATAATCCTAATAATTTTTAATTATATGTTTAGCTAGCGAATATCTTGTGGATGCATACGTGAATCAAGTGACCTAGCAATATCTTGTGGATGCATACGTGAATAAAGCGGGCGTTCCACGAAGTCATCCCTCCCCTTAGGTCCCGCTCAGCTGACGGGCTTGCCCGCTAGTATTAACAATATTTACAGTTCTGGTTGTTTAATTATCTTTATTAAAAGTTAATCAAAATTCACCAGAGAACAGAAAACATTACACGAATGTATGTGAAGAAACTGTTATTAAGTGAAAAATATTAAATGAGTAAAAAAGCTTCAAATTTTGCTAGAGAAAAAATTACTGTGACAAAGCAGAACATTTAGTAAATGAATGAGTTTGAATAGCTTTGAGGAATTAAATATATCAAAACATTACGTTAGCAAGCTTACAACTTGATTGTTGTACATCAAAGATATCTCCGAATCTTTAAATGAAATAACAAAAACCAACATTTGAGGAATTCTTCTCATCCACCAACTGTCATTATTGAACATTAAACAGTATATTTCTTTATTTTCTACATTCGAACTCAGAAAAAATATTCATAAGTTGAATTTGTTGAATTAATTATCGTTTTTATAGACTTCTATAGACCTCTATGCTAAGGTAGAATAATTAAAATTAGGGAGGATAAATTTCCTTTGTAGATATAATATCGTATGCTTTGTAAGTATTATTTAAATAATAATTAGATAAAAATATGTACAATTTTAAAATTTGTTTCAAATTCCGCTTTTTTGATAGCGGAATGAGTTAACTAACTAAGTTTTTGGAATTTTTTTCATACTGTTTACTTGTGAGTTTTCCTTGAAAGGTCTGCTATGAAAGCATAAATTCTAAGGAAAACAGTTCCGATATTTGCCTTATAAGTGATGCCTTCATTCATAAAGTACTACGTAGATAATCATAAATTGCTTGCCCGTTAAGTTAATTTTAGAAATATGAGAATACAAAGAGGATAAAGAATAAAAACTTCTTCAAGGAAAGCTAATTAAAATTGACATGAAAAATAACTGAAAAATAAAGTTTCTTCACTGCACGGTTCACATTTCACCTAAGGCAAAAATGTTCATCTAACATCATAAACGGTATAATCCGAAAACAAATAAGTTGTTATAAATAATAGCAATAATAATGTCTGAAGTATAGACACGACAGCAAAATTTGTGATAGGCTTTGTAACATCAAGCTAAAAGGTTTGCTGTTAAGTAGAATTTGCTTATTCTCATTTGCAAATGAAAAATAATGCCCAAAAGTACTATCCTGATCAGATATAATGAAAAGAAGATTTTTATTTTAAAATGGCAGATTCATTGTACTATTATAGTTTGGGATATATTGGGATTATATATTGGGAAATAGGAAGTATTTAAAGATAGGTTTTGGAGGGTGAAATTAGAACGTGTTCTGCCTGCTTGAAGGACACGCTGCTAACTTTGATTCTCTAGCGATCAGTATTCTGCGGGGTTAGGTTATTCTTGCCACTAAGCTTGTTTGTGCCAACTTCGGTCAGAGCCAGCGTGCGCGCTAGTTAAACTGTGAAGCCGTCAGGCTAGACTTAATTTCATTAGTTTTAGTTCATTATCTTTGGTTTAAAGCCATTGGCTTCAGTAAGCACGAGTTGGTGCCGACTGTTAAACTTTATTTGAATTAATAAAGGGTCTTTTACACTCTTTTCATGTTTCTTTGCTTCTTATAAGACATAGTGAAAATTCACCAGTTTCCTTTTAGAGTTCTGGTGTAATTGTATGCTACCTAAAAAGGCTTTTGACACCATTAATATACTTATTCCTAGCATAACGAATATAATTCTTTCTATGACGGCGTTAAGTTCTGAACCTAAATATGATGAAACACTTGTGGTTTAATGATATGTGGTGAAATGATAGCATCCTTGCGTGGAAGTACCAAAAAGGAAAACACCCATTGCAGGTGTCATCATTTAATTTTTAGAGGCTAACAACACCATATGTTGTTAGTTAATAGTGACCTTTAAAAACCATGTAAGTGCAATGTTGTTTAATTTTCAAAATATCAAACAACGTTTGATGACAGAGTTATCGATAAAAGAAGGCATAACATCGGTAAATATTCATAAATGTGTGGTTTCATTTCATGTCTGAACAGCACCTACCTATGTCACCTTGTAAACGTGAATTAACACATGTTTTTTGCACAAGATAGCGTGTCACTGGAAGGTGATCGGAGACCAAACCACAATGTGAGCTCCAAAGATATGTTTACTAAAATGTGGGAAAATAAAATAGAAAAAATCTGATATGGACTTCACATGATTTCCATGTACAGCCAGTTAAATTATACACAATATACACATTTGTTGCACATATAAGTATAGGAACCGGGAGACAGCATTAAAAATTAGATTTCGTTGTTTGTTGAAAGTCAAATTACTTTTTAAGTTTGACATTAACAAAATATGAATCTTTTCGTCATTCAAAACACTTCTATAATTAGAAGTATATACTTACTACCAACGACTTAGAAAATAAAGGCTGGGTAAGGACTTTAAGCTGTGCAAGGGGTGGGTACATCTATAACTTTGGTTCTGCCGATTGCAATAATAAAGAGAGGTGTAAAAATAGATGTTGTCGTCCCATATACAAATTTTCAAAGTTCTACGGCTAATCATTTTTGTGTTATACGAGATAATAAGTATGTACAGACGTCACGAAAAGAATCCCTTTTGAATCCGCTAAAATCTACTTTACAATCCGTTTTGGAAGAAAAAGCTCTATAGTGTGTCCGTACGTGCAGACGTCACGCAAAAAAATTGTCCAAATAGTTTTGGGAACTTCCAAAATGTATATTTCTGTTGAAATATTATACCCGAAATTTTTAGCGATTACAATGCTTTCTCTACTTCGTATAAAGAAATAAAAGTAGAGGAAGACTAATTAAGATTAGGTAAGAAAGCCTTAGTATGGCCTAAATTTTGAGTAAAATTGAATCTATTTCGAGGGCGCTCAGACAAAGGTCCTTCTTCAGGAGCAAAACTGTTTTACTCCTGAAGAATTTTTGCTCTCCAAATTTCCTTTTTGTCCGTAACAAGAGGGGCCTTTATCTGATCGACTTCTAAAATCGTAAGAAAATGCGTATTATTGTTGGATCAGTAGGGAAAAATCCTTTATGAATAGCCAGCGATGTCGAAAGTTTACCCCAGTTGAATACCCAAAATGTTGCCGAAAGAAATGAAGAAACATCGACTCGAAGGTTCTTGAGAGTTGCTTTGCTGAGAAGTGTTAATGATGAAAAAATTTATCCACAGCCAGTGAGATGAGATGAAATATGGCTTCTCCACTGTGATCCAGAAACAAATGGCGTGGAAGACGAATCTCTCTGTCTTTTAAGTTCATATCCCAAATATCTATCTGAAAGATTTTGGGAACAATTTTTTGGATGAATCAGGACCATTTCTTATTTATCATAACAGTACGACACAAATAAGAATAAATATTGGAAGATGTCAATAACATTAGGTAATTCATAACAATAGCTGGAAAAATCGATCATGAAATATTTACTGACGATTATTTATTTAAAAAATAATAATTAGACACTTCCATTCTCATGCTCTAATTCTTACAGAATCAAGAATAACGATTTTGTACTTTATTGTGGGGCTATCTGAAGCAATATTATTTTCACACCCGTTGTGCCGCCATACTAAACCTGAAAATGAGAATCATAGTAACTTTTACCCAGCATCCCTGGCTTTATATTACAACTGTTAATAGACAGTTTCATAATGAAACAACGAGGCCTTCATTTGAAAGGGGCCATATTCAAGCAATAATTAATAAATGGTATTCTTGTAGCTGGAAGTTTTCCTAGAGAATAATAAATGAAAATTTGCTATAATATGATTTTATTGAAAAGTAATTATTAACATTGGGACACTATGCAAAGAGCTGATATTCAATACTTGTCTGATAGTCTTAGCTGAATTTCTGCTATAAAATGATTGCGCAATTCATTGACACTCCAATAATCGATGGTTAATC